TCTAGAATTCCCATGTTGTCTCTCATAAATAGTAACAAGGCAGTGGTGAAATGCTACCATTTTACCGGTAGTAAAAAAAAGCTACTGGTTCCTCCGAACTGGTATTTCCACTGTGTATGCATGCGTGCGCAGCGTGCGTTTGGTGTGCACTGCATGTGCACTGTGCATGCATTGGTGCGCACTGCCTATGCGCGCACACAGTGTGCATTTAGCACACACTGCAGATGCATGTGCACAGGACGCATTTGACATGCATGTATGGCCAGTGAACTGGTGGCAAGGTACATAATTTCTAAACTCTAAAATTTCTAAACTTTCTAAAAACAACCACTGGCTGCTGGATACCGCCATCTAGCTGTGTAGCATTGTGTCTGTTATGATCCAACTCTCACATTGACTCTTTCCCTAAGTTATGAGCAGTAGTAAAGAATGAGGACAATACGCTAAGCCACCAATTCTATTTTGTGGCATAGAATGAATCAGTTTAACACAGCAAGCACTAAGCCAAGACCCCGAATATGATATGGAGTTCTGTAATTAGCATTTGAAGCTAAAAAAGGACACCCCCTTGGGATGCCTTTAATTAAATGGAATAATGTCAGTGGGTGACATCCCAGGTGAATCCCAAGGAAGAGAAAACACTTCTCTTTTTGGACTGCTTCTCCTTGTGTGACTTGTTCCAGTAAAAGAATATAGCTGTTGCCATAGTTGTGCAACATTATGCAACCAAATTAGGACTGCTTGTAGAAAACTGGCAGCCATCCTGATTGTTGCAAACACATCACAGAACACTCTCTCTCTCTCTCTCTCTCGTCCTCTGATTACTATTGCTGATTTTGTACACACGTACACACACACACACACACACACACACACACACACCTTTCAAGCCAGGACTCTGCCTTTACATTTTCAACAACCTTATAAAACACCAATTTTTTCATTGTTGAGTGTAAGTTTACCAAGTCAGACTGAAACTACAAAATGAATGGTGTATCAGTTAGAAGGTGATTAAGGAATTTGGTCTGGCTATTTCTTCTCCCCCCCCCAATGACATTCAATTTTCATCAAATAGTGTGTGGTCTGGGTACAGTTATGTTTAAGTAATCATACTACACATCTTTGTTGTGGTGTTCATCACCATAATATTGATAATATAATAACATAATAATATAATAACAATAATACTTAGCATCATCTTCTTTAATAACTCTCCACTTTAACATTTCCTCTTTTTATATCTCCTCCTTTCTAACTTTCATTTCTGTTGTCTAGCCATTGATAAAATATGTCCCATATCAAAAAATATCCAGTTTCTTCTTTATCCTTAATAGTAAGTGTTAGTCTATCCATTTCTGCGCATTCTAATATTTTCTTAATTACATTCTCCTCGGAAGGGATCTCATCATTTTTCCATTGTTGCGCAAATACAATTCTAGTTGCAGTTAGTATATGCAAGATCAGATATGTAGTCTTTTTGTCATATTTTTCTGGTAAAATGCCCAACAAAAATATCTCTGGTTTCAGGTCTATATGTTGCTTTGTCATATTTTCCAGCCACGTATGTATTTTTGTCCAGTATTTTTTTGCTTTTGGGCATGTCCACCAGATATGGTAATATGAACCAGATGATTAATTACACTTCCAACATTTAGCAGATCTTTCTTTATACATTTTTGCCAATCTTGCCAGTGCAAAATGCCATCTATAAAACATTTTATACAAATTTTCCTTATATGCAGTTGACATCGTCAATTTAGTATTTCTATCCCATAGTTTCTGCTATTTATCTAATTCTATTATATATCCAAAATTTTAGCAATCATTGTCTCCTTTACCTGCTCACTTTCAAGTTTAATACTTAATAGATAACAATATAGTTTCTTTATCAGTTTATCATCTATTCCAGTTAATATCTGATCTAGTTCTGTTAACTCTTTATTAAAACCATACATTTTAGCATCCTTCTCGTAATGAGATTGTATCTGCATATGTGATCACCATGCAATTTCTATTTGGCATGTTTAAGGCAAATATTTAGAATTTATGATATGTTAATGATATATAACATAATGTATAATTTTACTTTCAATTTGGGGAATCATTCAAAATACTTTCAAAAATACCTTCAGTGTTGGATATCCCCCTTTTTAAACTATGGTTCCACTATCTGTCTAAAATGTAATAAGCTGCTTCTCATAAAAGAAATGAAGGCTACTTGAAGAAAAAAAAACTATGCATCTATTTTGTATAAAATTTACCAGATTTATTTTATTAATAAGATGATCCTATGTCTGCAGATTTCATCTAGGTTTTTTCCCCCCGAGAATATAAACAATTTAGCACTTTTTTAATTTTCCCATTGTAAAATAGGTTTGGATTTTCAGAAGCAAATTAGACAAAACAGACACCCAGCAAAATGGTCCAATACGAATTAAACTTGAATTTGGGAAGCCTTGATTCAGATCCATGCCTTAGCATCATCATATTATCTTAGACACCAATCATTGTAATTTGTTTGGATTTAGTTTAGAATGGTATGGAAAAGGAGGAAGATATTTCTTTCTTGAAGTTATTGCTTTGATTATTGTATCCTGAGGCCCTTAGTATTACTATATTTACTATATTACTATATACTGTATTACTATATGTATGTTTTACTATATTTTAATAGTATTCATCCATAAATTATAGCTAATCCATACAGATTAGAATCATGATGGCGAATCTATGGCACGCGTGCCAGAGGTGGCATGCAGAGCCCTCTCTGCTGGCACACATGCCGTCACCCCAGGTCAGATCTCCATGACGTTTCTTTTGTGAGCTTCTGTTTCCCTGCAAATGACGAAACAGAAGCGCACGAAAGAAAAAGATTGGGGTCTCTTCTGTGCATGTCAGTGCATGTCTGCACATGTGCATGTCCATGCATGCATAAGTTCACACTTGCGCATGTTCAGTTTGGGTGTGCAGGCGTGCAGTTTGGGCACTCGGTGTCTAAAAGGTTCAGCATCATTGGATTAGAATTTAGGCCTATGGTGTATTTCAACTCCCACAATTCTCCCAGCCAGCAGGGGCTCTGGGAGCCGAAGTCCACACAGCTTAAATTTGCAAAGTTTGAGAAACCCTAGTGTATGCTATAAGTCTGTAAGAAAGACCATAGTACCATAGACTGTTAGGCAATTTCATTTTCCCAGAATCCTTTAAATTAGTATCCTTAAGTTCCTTGACTATAATTTTATAGTGATGCAGATGCAAGATGCTGGATTCACAGAATTCACTCGTCTGTGTTTTAAGGAGCAGTTAAAATCTTTCTGATGTTCTGCCTCCATGAAATTATTTCTGTGCTTCAAGGTGAATAGGTACTCCTTCCAAGCAATCCATGTCCTTTTTTCCTTTCTTGAATATCTTGAACAACCTTTGGAAGTGGCTTCAGGTCAGATATGTAAATTCTTTATGCTAAGTCTCATTGATTTTGTAGCCCGCTTGGCTGCTGTGAGAAGCCAGCAAATTAAGCTCTTTCTATGACAGAAAGAGCTGCTGGTTTCATTCTAGATGGCAGCAGACACTGTTTTAGATGCCAACTCTGTTTTTCTGGTGATATGACCATGCATATTAAAAATTAAATGCAGTCTGACTTGCATTTAGACTTAAACTCCAAGCTATGAGTCTTTTGAGGCAGGAAAAAAAAAGCAGTAAACTGTGATCTTAAAAGTTTGTGAGCCAATATTTAAAAAGCCAGAAATACCCTCATCCAAGGGATCGTTCCCCCCTACCCCACCATATTTAGCAAAGTCAGTTCTCATCTGCATATCAAATGAGCAAGAATGTATTTGTTTTTCAGACAAACCAGTGCCAGTGTTCATGAATAGCAGTTGGGTTTTCTTTCAGTCACCCTACTAGCTATCCTGAACAATTTTGTTATGTTTTTTTCCCCATTAGGATATACTCTTCTCTACAATTCTCTGGGTCAAATTGTCTGATCAGCTTCAGGAGCTGTGCTAGCTAAGTAAAAATGCTCTACATTGCTAGTATCTTTTTATTGATTATGTGCCATCAAGTCTGTGTTAACTACTAGCAATCGCCTAGACAGATTTTCTTCCTGACATTTTTTTTTCCTAACTTGGTCCTTTAAGTCTTTCAGCCATGCATTCATCATCACTCTGAGTTCCCCCACCTTGGTTCTAATCATCCTCTTCTTCTCTTACCCTTCATCAACCATTTTATATTCACCATGCATGTGATTTTCCTGATTATAAATGCAGGTTTGCCTTGTCACTGTCTCCGGCATCTCCTTGTATGTCACTACTGTTCAATATAGGTACCCGCTTGCTTTAGCTGGACAGCTGAGATAACCTTCATGCCTTGGGTGACCCCACTAGGAATATGTACCCTTGTTGTACACTTCCAGCTTTCTCCACTCCTCTCTGTTCCCGCCATGATGAGGTAGCATAGCAGGACTTGGGAGGGGGTTATTGTTACAAGTAATAGTAGTAGTAGTAATAACAACAACAATAATAACAGCAGCAGCAGCACCAATAACAACAGCAATAGCACTTAGACTGATATACCGCTTCACAGTGCTTTACAGCCCTCTCTAAGCAGTTTACAGAGTCAGCATGTTGCCCTCAACAATCTGGGTCCTCTTTTTATCAACCTTGGAAGGATGGAAGGCTGAGTCAGCCTTGAGCCTGGTGAGATTTGAACTGCCAAATTGAAGGCAGCTGGTACTCAGCAGAAGTAGCCTGCATTGCAACCACTGCACCCCCAGGGCTCGTGAATAATAGCCACCATGTTGATAATTTGGGGGAAACGAGAGAGAAGATATTATTGGAGGAAGAAATAAATGTTAAATAATGCAAATGATGAGAAAAGGGTGGTATAATATAATCATGTTTTTCTTTATATTGCCATGGCCTTTTGATGCATTAAAAAGCTTCTGTTTAAATACTATTTGGATATATGCTTTGATCTAACTCTAGCTTTTTTTCTTCTTTTTCTAGTGATGGATGGGCAGATAGAGATGAAGTCATTGAAGGTTATGAAGCTGAAGCAAGTGGGGGCATCACAATTAAGCTGCAGTCTCCAGAAGTCTTATCATTTGATGACTACTTTTTGAAAATAAGACTGGAGACCAACAAAAGAAACCCTTGGTTCCCTGAGTTTTGGCAACATCGCTTCCAATGCCGCCTGCCAGGTCATCCTCTAGAGAACCCCAACTTTCAAAAGAATTGCACTGGTAAATATTTAAATATGTTTCTTGTCTGAACAAGTCTGAGCAAGTTTTTGTTACCTTCACCAATGTAAACGCCTTTTCTTACTTTTCCAACTCAACTGAATAGAAACATTGATGGAGGTATGGAGCGAGCCGCACAGTCTAATATTGTTGTAGCTGTCAGCATGGTGCTGTGTCATTGGACAGCCTCCAGTTTGCCACTGGTACTTTGATGAATAAATGAGTGAATGAATGAATGATTCAGATCCTTGCATTCTAGGGGTGAATGTACAAAGATGGTATGTAATAATACCTGGTGTATTTAGATGTCCCCTGGCTCCGCTTAAGCAATTCTTAATTGCTTTTTTCTTTCTGCTGAGCTGAAGCAGAAGTTTTTGATTGATTCTGAATTGAATTTGTAGGTGGTTTTAAAAAAAATAGAATAAAGGCTTGGTTTGATTGCTAACAAAGCTTTGGGCCTTTTTTTTTCTTTCAGAGTTTCATGTACGATGTTAAAATGCTTTTGAGCATCTTATATGCAGTTTGTGTTCATGTAGATAGATAGCATTGAAAGTGATAAAGGTATTGAAAAAGTACCTGTATACAGGGGTGGGCTGCTGCTGGTTCAGACCGGTTCGGGTGAACCAGTAGTTCCAACGATCAGCTGGCCCTGCCCACCTGCCCCCGCCCTATCGTGTCCTATATTTCCTTTTTTTCTGGCTCAGCTGATTCGCACAGAACAGCTGATTTCTGCACCTCCGCTGTTCTACTTACTGGGGCTGCCTTAGAAGGTAAGCAGCTGAGCTTCAAATTGCTGTATTTTGAATGCTGCGCACAAGTGCGTTAGGCGTGCATTAGACATGCCCGCAAGCGCGCAAGCAAAGCACATGCTCACCAAACCGCTTGTTAAACCAGTTGCAGCCCATCACTGCCTGTATAGTGTAACCAAGACTTTTACTGGTACATCACAAAGTGAAAGCAAAAAATTACTTTTGCTATTGTGCAGTAGTATACCAACAATGTGATAAGATTCTAAAGACCACTAAATCTTTGTAGCTGCAACCAAAATAACTGAGTATTAACATTATTGTTCTTTAGAAGTAATTTGTATGAAATGCCGCAAACTACTTCTTACATTGAACTCAGAAACTTCCATTTCTATTAGCAACATATTGAAATTTGTACCTCCATTTTAGCTTATCAAACAGAATTGTTTGGAATTCCTTCAGATCATCAGCTTCATACCATGAATGAACTAATACGTTTATCAACTCCTGCAGAAGATTTAACATGCTTCTTGGATTACAATGCATGATTTTTGTGGTGCAGTAATGAAAATTGTGTTTTAATCAGTATGTAAATAAGGATTGGGCTGGTTCAGTCAGCATGTAAGTTATAACACAAGGATTTGTGTGGCACAGTGGTTAGAGTGCAGTACTGCAGGCTACTTCTGCTGACTGCTGGCTGTCTGCAATTTGGAAGTTCGAATCTCATCAGGCTCAAGGTTGACTCAGCCTTCCATCCTTCCTAGGTCGGTAAAATGAGGACCCAGATTGTTGGGGGGCGGGCAATATGCTGACTCTTTAAACTGCTTAGAGAGGACTGTAAAGCATTGTGAAGTGGTATATAAGTCTAAGTGCTATTGCTATTTTTTTGGCCTAAGTTGCCATTCCTGCCCTAAACTAACTCTTAAAAGTTTAACAGTCAGTGTAGCAGAAAAAAGCAAAGTGGAAATAAATAGGATGTGCGCCCAGGAATATAAGAGTATTAAAGACTTAGGTATATAAGCCAAAGGCATTCTGTTTCCCCATTTACCAATCACATGCCTCAGGGATTCATTCAAATAGACCAGTGGTCCCCAACCTTTTTATCGCCGTGGACCAATCAGCCTTTGATAATTTTACTGTGGCCCGCTGAGCGCACGCAGGGGTGGGGGCTTTGGGCCACACGTGCGTACCTGCGCGGGGCTCTCTTCCCTGGAGCCTTTGCGCATGGCCCAGGAGCTTTTGCGCACGGCCCAGGAGCTTTTGCGCACGGCCCAGGAGCCTTTGCGCTGCAGCGTTCATGTCCCCCGGCCGCTGTGCGGCCCGGTGCCAGGTACTCCACGGCCCGGCACCGGTCCGCGGACCGGAGGTTGGGGACCACTGAAATAGACCATGAAGACAATGGTGTCTTCCTGGTTTTGATAGTATGTTGCTTTAAAATATGATTCATTATGTATCCAAGCAATGGGGAAGAATGAGACTGCAAAGATTATGGGAGACTATTGCCCCAGGATACAGGGAATTTCTACTGTGGTTGTGTGTTTTTATGTTCTATTATTTCGTGAGCAGCTCAGGATTGTGGTTCATAATAAGAGCTGCTATGTAAATGAATCAACTAAGATATACTGATAAATGTACCTGTCTATGGGTTTATCTAATTGCCCTTTAAAGATGAGCATGTTGATAACAATCACTAGCAGGGAAGTACTTCCTTTATCAGTCCCAAACACTCCACAATTCAACTTCATAGAATGAGTTTTCCCTATCTAAAATCTCTCGTGCATATGTTTATATGCCTGAGTCATGTTCTCCACCCACAGCATTTGTTTATGTTAAAAAGCCTCAAACCCTTTCTCCAAAGGAAGCTACACTGTTTGCTCTAATGTTTCTGTTGATTTTTTATTTGTTGTTGTTGTTATTATTATTATTATTATTATTATTATTATTATTATTATTATTATTATTGCATTTTGCTATTTCTAGAATTCTGTCATGGTCTATATCTTACATCATGTTCTAGTACAAATTAAATCGATTAATAATAAAAATGTGCATATAAAAAGGATGTTGATTTTGTTTTTGTAATTTCAGTGTGCATGCTAATCAAATATTACAAATATTACTTATTCAATCCTTTCACTAAGTGAAATTGAAAAAATATGTACGCCTGAAGAAAATGGCATTTTTCATTATTTCCCCACTACTGAATGTGGTCTTATATTGATTTGGGATCATGATGTTACAGTTTTCATTGAAAAAGAATTCATCCCTTCGTGAAGTTTGCTTGTCTTCATTTAGTTCAACTTGTAGTTACAGTTGACTAGATCAGTGTCATTGGGACCTAATAACTGATTGTATATCATTTCTGCATATTGTTCCTGGTTTCAACTTCTCAGATGATTGTTGCAGAGAGAAAAATGAGGATGGACAGAAAAAAATAACTGTGACAACAAAATATTAGATGAAAATGTCTTTAAATATATATTTTTTTAAACTAACAATTTGGGGAAAATTTCATACTGCCAACAGTTTGCAGAGAAATAGTACAGATATTTAAAATTGAAAAAAATAATGTTTTATTATAAGAGTGGATACTATAGACAATACATGAATTGTCTATAGTCTTTACAGGGCCCTGTAAAATTGTCTTACAGGGCACTGTAAATCAGGTTAACCTATGAGAATAGCTCCAATTCTCTTGGGCAAATGTAGACCAATTTCTTAAATGGGAAGCCACTACCAATCCAATAGAAGATGTCTAATAAATTACATAAACAAACACAAAGATGGACACGCTAATCTAATAAACCTCTTTCTTAGAGTAGATGAGAAAGAGAAGTAGAATGGCTGCTGGAAGAATCTGACATACGCATTATTAGAATAAAATGCTAGATTTCAAGTTCGTGCAGGATTTCAAGTTCAGGACCAAGGACAGGTCCAGTAGTGCATTTCACTCAGTATCTACGGAGATTCTCAGTCATCCAAGCAATAGTTGCCTCAAATGTGTTTCTCCCACCCACCCTTCTAATGGCAACTGGACTGTTTTTTGAGGAGGAAGAATAAGAAATTTCTCTTCTCATTCAAGAAGCTTCATCAATTGATTTTCACCCAGAGTTTCAGTTGATCCTAACTGATTATTGATAAGATAACCTTAGTATATTATATGATCCCACATAAATTTTAAATAATAGTTCTGTAAATATGGTAAAGACAAATTACCTTGCTACTAACTTCTACCCTTTCTTCACAGAATGTAATTACACAGTTGAGGGCCCCAATAGGAATTTACTGAAGACTTGGTGAGGGGATACTCCACAGGGTTTTCAGGATTATACTCTCTGAAATCCTTCCCTTTGATTCAGATGGCAGTGGTATTTTCCTGAGATGTTTCCATGAATATGTAGATTCAGCATTGATAGTCTCATCTGACAGGGAGCAGGGATTACCTTTTTTTTCCCCCTCAAGGCTGTTGCCACCAGTTTTGCAAGATGTTTCAAAAAGAGAAAAACTTAACAGGAGATTATTATCAGTTTGCCTTTATATCTATCTATTCAAGACCTTCATAAAACATTTGCATGGAAACTAGATACTAGAATAAATGAACCTTGTGGCTTTTCCCCAGAAAGACTATTTGTAGTTTTGCATACTTAGGTTGTCTCAGATCCCCTGCTATTTTCCTCTTGTGCATAGCTGGTACCCTGCTGACTACATAAGCAGTGGCATTTCTCTTTGAAGTCCACAGTAGAGGAAAAGAATTATTTCCTTAATGTCATTCTAATACTTTAACAAAGTTATCTCACTGCTATTTTGTGTATCGGGAAGAAAGGAGGATTGTTCATAATTTAGTGAGAAGCAGGAAATAAAATGGAAACATATGGAGGAAGGGTTCCCTTCAAAGTAATTTCATGAACATGCTATGCTTGTACTTTTCTCCCATGAAAAGGCCTACTATAGTATGGAATTCAGCTAAAACATTGGATATTATATTGTATTGTGAAAATTAATTTGGTTTACTGTTTAATAACAAGAGATTAAAATACTATTGACACATAATTGAAATTAACTTTTAAGAGGGGGAAATATTATTAATTATGAAGAGCCTTGGTGGTACAGGGGTTTAAGGCACCCTGTTATTAAGACCAGCTGCCTGCAATTACTGCAGGGTTCGAATCTCGCCAAGGCTCAAGGTTGACTCAGCCTTCCATCCTTTCTAAGGTAGGTGAAATGAGGACCCAGTTTGTGGGGGCAATAAGCTGACTT